TGGCTGGGGTCATTTAGGCTTGTTTTTGCTGTTCTCCAAATAGCGTTTTAACGTTTTTTAAAAATTGTATAGAAATGCAATAAATGTGCTTCAACTTTTTACAAAAATACCTTGAGGAGGGGATAGCAAACTCGTCCGTTCACCTACCAATTTACACTTTCCTCAACCACTGACCGCTTATCGGTTTCTGGGTTATGGCGGAAAGGTAGATGGAGGAGTCGAGGAAAGGACAGACTTTTTTTGCAATTGAGAATCTCCCGTTGCTGTTCACTAGCTCTGTCCCTAACTAGTGCATGAATAAAACATGAAATGGAGTACTGAGTGCATCAGTTATCAGTATATGGACTGGACTCCCAGTAATGATCACTATAGACTACAGTAGTTATAATAATACTCTCATAATATGATGCTGTTGGCTGCTGTATTAGGCTAGTATGATAAATCAGTTGATTTAGGATAGACTACTTATAAAGGTGCACCATCATCATGTGCTTTAGTTGATCCTTTTCTTGTCAGTCATTTTTTATGAAATTATAGTTAACAATTATAGAGCAATTTGTTTTTATAGACAGACTACAACTCCGACATTTTAGGCCATATTTAACTGCCAGAGAACAGTGAATATCATCCTCAGGTGGCTGCCCTTCCCTTGCCCTTAGTCTGCCTACTGTCCCTCCTATCTCCATGGAGACACCTTCCTGAAAACAATAGCACTGTACTTTGTTTCAAACCTGTTCTGACAGTTCATGTCTTAAAAGTTTAGAATATTCCAATGTGGTTAGTCAAAAAGATGACAAGATGGTTCAGACATTCATCATCCAGGGTTACTATCAAACAGATATGTTATATTTCTGGTTTGTCCACTTGTTTCCTGCTTGTAGCAGGGCGCAGTTACAGGAATGTTCTAACTATAAGTCACATGATTACGTGAGAACATTTTTCTGCAGTGAGGGTGGGTAATGCAAGTAAAGGTGTCCTTGGATGAATGTCAATTAAATGAATTAAATCTGACCATACCAGTTCATGCCCCAAAACACTCAAATTCAAATCTGGACCTCGAAGCCTGTTCCACTGCTTTTGTCTTCTTCTAATTTTCTCTGTCAGGGACTGATTTAGACCTGGGACACCAGGTGGGTGCAATCAGTCATCAGGTAGAACAAAACCAGCACCATTTCAGATTTGAATACCCCTGCCCTAAAATAATACAATGTTCAAAGGTAGTCCATGAGGAGGAAGGAATATTAGGATTATGTACACAGCTATTAACCTCACATGTAGCTATAGCAACTGATTAAGGGCCAGGGGTATTCATATTTTACCCTATGAGGACTGCTGCTGGTTTTCTGTTCTACCTGATAATTGATGGCAGCAACCTGGTGTCCCAGGTCTAAATCAGTCCCTGATAGAGAAAATTAGAAGAAGACAAAAGCAGTGGAACAGGCTTCGAGGTCCAGATTTGAATGTGAGGGGGTTAGGCCTACAACTACATTGAGAGAAAGATCGTCTTTTTCTGCATACGAACATTAACAGATCTCACAACGCCTGGAGAAGTATGTATCATGTCAGGAAACTCATTAATGTGACATATTATTATATTGCAATCAGACTCGCAGCACAACTGCAAAAAAGACTACCTGGAACGCTGCCAGATAGTTTGCCTGTAGATTTTTTTTTAAGTAGTGAAAAATAAATGAACATTTGACCATTTTTTTATATATGCTAAGAACAAATGAAACCCTTTTTGTGAACTTCCCTGTGCGCAATCTCTCATTATGCGAGATCTGGGCCATTTGATTTTTACCAGTTCAAAATACCTGAGAGGAATAGCAATTGTTATGACATTGTGAGTCCTAAAGTCGTCCCCAAATTGAATAAGAATTAGCCTACCTGCCATTCATCAAAACATATATTAACCTGACACTTTTATAAAACATGTATACTTACCATTTTCCTGCTGCATTCAGAGTAGCCTAGCCTGGAGCATGTACTGACACGGTCATAATCAAAAGGTGGAAGCCTAAGGTGACGTTACTGAGGTAAAGTGAGGAAGACAGGCAGGAGGAGAGGGGAGGGGAGGAGCATCTGGGCATGCATCACCAGGGACAATTTTAGCTTCTTCTTCAATGAGGTTTAGCGGTGGTTGGTATCCAATAAATGTTGCAATACTGCCACCTACTAGAATGGAGTATAACTCCATTATGCTTTGCCTGAATTGAAATCATAATAAAAAAAATAAAAATAAAAACACCCCCTACTCCACTATTTAAATACCCTACCATCTAACCCAATCACAAAAAACCCACCACCCTAATCCACTATTTAAATACCCTACCATCTAACCCACTCACAAAAAACCCACCACCCTACTCCACTATTTAAATACCCTACCATCTAACCCAATCACTAAAAACCCACCACCCTACTCCACTATTTAAATACCCTACCATCTAACCCACTCACTAAAAACCCACCACCCTACTCCACTATTTAAATACCCTACCATCTAACCCTACACTCACTAAAAAGTCACCACCCTACTCCACTATGTAAATACCCTACCATCTAACCCACTCACTAAAAATCCACCACCCTACTCCACTATTTAAATACCCTACCATCTAACCCACTCACTGAAAATCCACCACCCTACTCCACTATTTAAATACCCTACCATCTAACCCACTCACTAAAAATCCACCACCCTACTCCACTATTTAAATTCCCTACCATCTAACCCACTTACTAAAAACCCACCACCCTACTCCTCCATAATATCTGGTATGCTCACGGTTCCTCCATAATATCTGGTATGCTCACGGTTCCTCCATAATATCTGGTATGCTCACGGTTCCTCCATAATATCTGGCATGCTACCGGTTCCTCCATAATATCTGGCATGCTCCCAGTTCCTCCATAATATCTGGTATGCTCACGGTTCCTCCATAATATCTGGCATGCTACCGGTTCCTCCATAATATCTGGCATGCTCCCGGTTCCTCCATAATATCTGGCATGCTCACGGTTACTCCATAATATCTGGCATGCTCACGGTTCCTCCATAATATCTGGCATGCTCACGGTTCCTCCATAATATCTGGCATGCTCACAGTTCCTCCATAATATCTGGCTCACGTGAGAGAGGGAACAGCTGACTCTAATCTACTTATTGTCCCACCCCACACCGCCATACAAGAAAGAATTTGCCAGTGAGAAGTCTCGCCTGGAGCAGCCCCTCCGTGGGGCGGGGGCAATAAGTAGTCCACTCGAGTGGCCCCGTACTGATCCAAATAAATGAGGGAGTGGTGTGTCTCGCTTTCTCTACAGTCTCTGACTTTAGATATCCCTGTTTTTCTATGGTCAAAAGACAACAATAGCCACAAGACTGTTGACAACCAAAGCAACCATTACTGCAGTTGTTTAACATAGCAGTCAACCTTTTTCCTGTAGTCTCAAAATGATTAAATTTTAGATTTCTACATCAAATAGAGCATACTTTGGCTAGACTAATGTGGCTTCTACCTGACTCTTGGTAATAGCCTGAAATTCACATCTCCCATGTAGATAGAGATCATGAACATAACTCTCAGTGTTCAGCCCTTCTTTTCTGCCAAACATTCCTTTGTTCATTGAGCAGCTTTTCTGCATGAGCTAGGCGGTGGAGACCATAGAGAATGATAGAGGGCTCTAGTGGCCAAAAGTCTGTGTTAGCATGGGCAAAGCCATTGAGGGATTCCACCATTTTAATGTAGTCAACTGGATGGGACTTCCAACATCATTGGCTGATCCCTCCTGATGACCCAGTTGGGGTCATGTCCAACCGGGTCATCAGGAGTGATCAGCCAATCATGAAGAAGAAAATTGACTACTATGTGAAGAATGGAAATTGCCTCAATGGTGCTGCCCATGCTGTCACAGATGCTATACAGACACGGATACAAAGGTGAGTCCTCTATCTGTCTATATGAAGGAGACCAGCTTCAACACTCTGCATAGCCACAGGAAGTAGGGGTGCTGAGGGTGCTGTTAAGTGTGCCTTGAATTCTAAATAAATCACAGACAGTGTCACCAGCAAAGCACCCCCACACCATAACACCTCCTCCTCCATGCTTTACAGTGAGAAATACAAATGCAGAGATCATCCGTTCACCCACACCGCGTCTCACAAAGACACGTCGGTTGGAACCAGAAATGTCCAATTTGGACTCCAGACCAAAGGACAAATTTAAACTGGTCCAATGTCCATTGCTCGTGTTTCTTGGCCCAAGCCGGTCTCTTATTATTATTGGTGTCATTTAGCAGTGGTTTCTTTGCAGCAAATCGACCATGAAGGCCTTATTCACACAGGCTCCTCTGAACAGTTTACATTTAACATTTAAGTCTTTTAGCAGACGCTCTTATCCAGAGCGACTTACAAATTGATGCTCGAAAGAGGTTGCACAATCTGTCATGGTATGGTCTAATAATACAAGTCAGGAGGATGTCGTAGCCGGCCGTGACCGGGAGACCCATGGGGCGGCGCACAATTGGCCCAGCGTCGTCCAGGGTAGGGGAGGGAATGGCCGGCAGGGATGTAGCTCAGCTGGTAGAGCATAACGTTTGCAACGTCAAGGTTGTGGGTTTGATTCCCACGGGGGGACAGTATGAAAAAATTAAATAATGTATGCACTCACTAACTGTAAGTCGCTCTGGATAAGAGCGTCTGCTAAATGACAAAAAAATAAATAAAATAAAATAAAAATGTTTATACAATAGAACCCAACATCAATATACAGGATTCAGGACACCCAGAAAGAACGGGTGATTTCACATGAACCACATTCAAGACCATACAGTTCAAGATGTACAATCCTTTTCACTCTCTTAGCAATCAGGACCACTGAGAGGGAAAGGAAACAGCAGCAGCAACAAGATGTGAGCATCAGGATGTTTTATTATGAATCTGTTTTAGTCATCTCTTCTTCATAGTCCATGAGGCACTGTTCTATTAGAAGTCATCATTGTCAGTCATCCAGGTCCAGTGTATTGAGTTCTTCATCCAGTTCGTCCAGGTCCTCACCGGTGAAAAGGTTCTCGTCCACAGGCACGGCCTCTGCTTCCTTGTCATCGTGAGTCTCCTCATCCCCGTCGTGCCCGTTCTCCTCCACACCTCCACAAGCCCCGTTCAGCTGGTCATCATTAATTTCCTTTTGTTGGCTTCGATTTGGCTGTGAATCTGTCAACTGCAGCAACAGTTATTCCGGTGTTGTCAACTTCCTTTGGAACAAACCTGGCTAGATCGATGTCCTGGAACTCCTGAACATCTTCAACCTCTTCAACGTCATCATCGTCCTCAACATATTTTATGTAATCAGCCTCCTCATCGTCATCATCAGCCAGATCAGGGCAGAACTCAAATACTTGATGGCCTCTAACCCCAAAGGACCTGCCAGCATTGAAATCAGCCTTCTTTTTCTCCATGTCTTGCTCTGCCTTGACCACTTTCTCTTGCCTTTTCCTCATTTTCCAGGCCAAAAAGGTCTCCAGAGTTATTCGGGTGACATTTGGTCCGAGGGCAGATCGCTCATTCTCTATCAACTCTTCCATTGAGATTTCATCTTCCTTTTCGTCCTTTTTCTTGTCTTTCTTGAGCACAAACCCAGCAGGCAATGCATGGCGGTACATACAAGTGTCAGCTCCACTAGGACATACCCAAAACCAACCATATTTGTTGTTTTCAATGGCATCAAGGAAATGCTTTGCAAGCTATTTGGGTTTTTGAGCTTTGAGCTTTCTTCTATTCAGCTTCTCCGTGCTTCTGGTTCACTACCTCCTCCAGCTACTTCTCATCCCAATTATCCATGGTATCTTTCTCAAGCTCGTCTTCTCTCTTGTCAAAATAGAGGCTCCGTTTCTCACACTTCCTCTCGAGTGTCAAATCGTGGGAGAACCTGCACTTGTCTCCCTTGGTGCATTGGCCTTGCTTGAAGAAGGCACAGAGAACTGATTTTGGGTCCACCCCTTTAGCGACTTTCTGAGCAGCCACCACTGGCTTGAAAAGTTAGTTCAGCTCATCCAACTCTTTTTTCTTGTCACCCTTTTGTTCTTGTCCCCTTCCGCACCAACCTTACTACCAGGAACTTGCTTGACTTGCTGAGAGACATTCTTGATACATTTCTGTTGTTTTCCTCCCTTTTTGTTCTTCAAACCAAATGTCTTGTCGTCAATTATCTTTTCCTTCTTCTTCTCTTGCGTTTTTTTACTAACGGCGGCAGCTTGAGCTGGTTTCTCGGAGGCATAGTGAATGATGTAACTATATTTTGAATTATTCTATTACGATAGCCACCGCTACATGAAGTACTAAAGTTGATGTTGAGATGTGTCTGTTACTTGAACTCTTTGAAGCATTTATTTGGGCTGCAATTTCTGAGGCTGGTAACTCTAATGAACTTATCCTCAGCAGCAGAGGTAACTCTGGGTCTTCCATTCCTGTGGCGGTCCTCATGAGAGACAGTTTCATCATAGCGCTTGATGGTTTTTGCGACTGCACTTGAAGAAACTTATAGTTCTTGAAATTTTCTGTATTGACTGACGTTCATGTCTTAAAGTAATGATGAACTGTCATTTCTCTTTGCTTATTTGAGCTGTTCTTGCCATAATATGGACTTGGTCTTTTACCAAATAGGGCTATCTTCTGTATACCCCCCCCCCCCCCCCCCCCCCCACTCCCCCACCTTGTCACAACACAACTGATTGGCTCAAACGCATTAAGAAGGAAAGAAATTCCACAAATTAACTTTTAAGAAGGCACACCTGTTAATTGAAATGTATTTCAGGTGACTACCTCATGAAGCAACCTCATGAAAATCTTTCCAAGTGAAGCTGGTTGAGAGGATACCAAAAGTGTGCAAAGCTGTCATCAAGGTAAAGGGTGGCTATTTGAAGAATCTCAAATATAAAATATATTTTGATTTGTTTAACACTTTTTTGGTTACTAAATGATTCCATATGTGTTATTTCATAGTTTTGATGTAAATAATAGTAAAAATAAAGAAAAACCCTTGAATGAGTAGGTGTGTCCAAACTTTTGACTGGTAGTGTATACAAATTCTCACAAAATGTGTGAACTCGGTCTTGATTACTCCTGTATGAGTGGACAGAAATACTCAGCGTAATTTTTCTTAAATGCTGGGACACGTTCTGGCTATGAATCCAGCGTAAACCTACAGAGTTCTCTCATCCGGTGTTGCGTCGATTCTCCTTAGCATAGGAATGAGCCCAAAGACTGTAGCCATGGAGATAGATAGAGGACTCATCTTTATATCTGTGCCATTATAGCGCCTGTGACATCATGGGCAGCGCCACTGAGGCTACAACCCAGAGGAAACCCTACCTAATTGACTACTTTAAAATGGCAGAAGCATAGTGGAAGCCCTCAATGGCAATATCCATGCTGGAATGAGTTATAGTCATGATGAGTCCTCTATCTAACTCTATGACTAATGTTCTTTCAATTTCGTCTGCGACTCTGTCATTCAGGAAATACATTTAGGTTGGCCTGAATAATTAATATTTATTATAGGCCCTATTATAAATTCAGGACAAACGACTTTCCCATCTGTTCTTCTAAAACATTTTCAAAGATACTCAATCCATTTTGCATAGCACATATGATATCAAATTGATAAACACAATTTTAGGCTACTTTGTTTATTGTCAAATATGATGAATTAAAACAAAGCCTATTAGCCTAATCATTTTCACAATTGTTTGTCTATATGCTCTAATTAGGATTAGGAACTTGCACAAAATATTTCATGAATTCAAGCATAAAGCTATAATTAGGCCTTTTGGTTGTTTAGGTAATTATAGGGAAATGTGCCATATTTATTGCAATAAGGCTGGTAGCCTAATTTAATCTATAAGCATGCGGTCAAAACACTTCGGTGAAGTGAGCCGACACTCGCAAAGCGCAGTCAAGCCATCCGCTCTTCAGTTTCCTCCTGAATTTGGTTGCACAACACTTTACGGCTGTGGTCAGTCACCAAACTTTTCTGAGTCAAGATCACTTTCGCAGTCAAAAAGCAAACCGAGATCTACTGCTCAGATTTGTTTTAAACATTAGGCCTACTTAGAAAATGTAACATTAACCTAATAAAACAGTGAGGTTTGTGCAGTAGGCCTAATACATCACAGCATATTGGCTATATGCCTGGCCTGACAATATTGTTATTCTCAGACCATATTATATTTTAAAACTTGAGCTTTGATAACAAAATAGATCAGTTGGTGTAACATAAATTTAAATCATTTGTTTATTTTATTTTACTGGACTGATAGTACCTGCATCTGATGGTCATGGTGCTTTCAAGACAACTTGGAACTCGGAAAAAAACGAAGTACAAATATGACGCCAGTGATCTTCAGGTCGGAAAGTCGGAGCTCTAGAAAGATGCCAGAGTTTCCGACTTGAATAACGAGTTGGATGACCTTTTAAAATATTTATCCCAGTCGGATCTCGTTTTTTTCCGAGTTTGCATTTGTCCTGAACACACTGAAGTCAGAAGTCTGAGATTTCCGAGTTCCCAGTTGGTTTGAATGTATAGTAGTGTAGATGTCAGAACACTATCCTATCACCAGATAACTGACCTGTTATAGTAGTGTAGATGTCAGAACACTATACTATCACCAGATAAATGACCTGTTATAGTAGTGTAGATGTCAGAACACTATACTATCACCAGATAACTGACCTGTTATAGTAGTGTAGATGTCAGAACACTATACTATCACCAAATAACTGACCTGTTATAGTAGTGTAGATGTCAGAACACTATACTATCACCAGATAACTGATCTGTTATAGTAGTGTAGATGTCAGAATACTATACCATCACCAGATAACTGATCTGTTAGAAGAACTGGAGAACAATGATGGTGTTGAACCTAGTTATCTGTGTGATCACCGGACATAGGTTGCTATCCGGTGTTGTGATGAAACAAAGGTGTGGTTGAATTTATTCTGCCACTGTGTCTTCTTATTGTCTCGGCCTTTAGGCCTATGCAGTTGAAGTCGGAAGTTTACATACACTTAGGCTGGAGTCATTAAAACCCGTTTTTCAACCACTCCACATATTTCTTGTTAACAAACTATAGTTTTGGCAAGTCGGTTAGGACATCTACTTTGTGCATGACACAAGTAATTTTTCCAACAATTGTTTACAGACAGATTATTTCACTTATAATTCACTGTATCACAATTCCAGTGGGTCAGAAGTTTACATACACTAAATTGACTGTGCCTTTAAACAGCTTGGGAAATTCTAGAAAATGATGTCATGGCTTTAGAAGCTTCTGATAGGCTAATTGACATCATTTGAGTCAATTGGCGGTGTACCTGTGGATGTATTTCAAGGCCTACCTTCAAACTCAGTGCCTCTTTGCTTGACATCATGGGAAAATCAAAATAAATCAGCCAAGACCTCAGAAAAACAATTGTAGACCTCCACAAGTCTGGTTCATCCTTGGGAGCAATTTCCAAACGCCTGAAGGTACCACGTTCATCTGTACAAACAATAGTACGTAAGTATAAACACCATGGGACCACGCAGCCGTCATACCGCTCAGGAAGGAGACGCGTTCTGTCTCCTAGAGATTAACGTACTTTGGTGCGAAAAGTGCAAATCAATCCCAGAACAACAGCAAAGGACCTTGTGAAGATGCTGGAGGAAACCGGTACAAAAGTATCTATATCCACAGTAAAACAAGTCCTATATCGACATAACCTGAAAGGCCGCTCAGCAAGGAAGAAGCCACTGCTCCAAAACTGCCATAAGAAAGCCAGACTACGGTTTGCAACTGCACATGGGGAAAAAGATTGTACTTTTTGGAGAAATGTCCTCTGGTCTGATGAAACAAAAATATAACTGTTTGGCCATAATGACCATCGTTATGTTTGGAAGAAAAGGGGGGTTGCTTGCAAGCCGAAGAACACCATCCCAACCGTGAAGCATGGGGGTGGCAGCATCATGCTGTGGGGGTGCTTTGCTGCAGGAGGGCCTGGTGCACTTCACAAAATAGATGGCATCATGAGGAAGGAAAATGATGTGGATATTTTGAAGCAACATCTCAAGACATCAGTCAGGAAGTTAACGCTTGGTCGCAAATTGGTCTTCCAAATGGACAATGACCCCAAGCATACTTCCAAAGTTGTGGCAAAATGGCTTAAGGACAACAAAGTCAAGGTATTGGAGTGGCAATCACAAAGCCCTTACCTCAATCCTATAGAAAATGTGTGGGCAGAACTGAAAAAGCGTGTGCGAGCAAGAAGGCCTACAAACCTGACTCAGTTACACCAGCTCTGTCAGGAGGAATGGGCCAAAATTCACCCAACTTATTGTGGGAAGCTTGTGGAAGGCTACCCGAAACGTTTGACCCAAGTTAAACAATTTAAAGGCAATGCTACCAAATACTAATTGAGTGTATGTAAACTTCTGACCAACTGGGAATATGATGAAAGTAATAAAATCTGAAATAAATAATTATATTATTCTGACATTTCACATTCTTAAAATTAAGTGGTGATCCTAACTGACCTAAGACAGGGAATTTTTACTAGGATTAAACGTCAGGAATTGTGAAAAACTGAGTTTGAATGTATTTGGCTAAGGTGTATGTCAACTTCTGACTTCAACTGTATATCATGGTGTCAAGGCATATGAACTAACACGTTATAGAGCAAACACATAGGTTGTAATATGGCTTTTTTCTGACTTCCCCAGTGATTTTACCCACGCACCACTACTGGTGTGATGACTAGATGTGATTATTAAAGATAATTAAACTAGTAAACAAGTGGTGCACATGCTGTTTGGTTGTTTTTCAATAATCCCTAATTAAATTGAAGATTAAATATTGAATTCAGATGAATAGAGGAGTGATGAGACGACTCAAGGAATCTATGACAGGTTCTCCTGGTCCAATATTATTTTAATACACCATGGTGGAAGGGTTGCACTTCAACAAACACCTTAAATGTCATGATCTACAGGTCTTTTATGTTGCCAACTCACACACAATTGGTGGGCCCAAAACCGCCCATACATTTGATTGGTCGACATGGGAAAGTTCCTCGGCCGTCACTACAACTGATAATTATAGAGTTGACAGGTGAAAACTACTATGCCAAATATGATGTTTAACAGAGAGTTAACATGGTACTAAGAGCGCTGACATGCTACTTAAAAATACATGGTTCGATCTGGTCAACAACTCAGGTTTCAGAAGGTCTTGGTCAGTGTATTCACTGGTCCAGAATGAGCAGGTAGAGGACTTTCTCTGTCAGCTTGTCTGCGGCCGTTTAAAGTGTGGTTTCTGATTTCTGAACAGTAGTGAGGAATCCAACACAGTATAAACATTCTACTGATTCACATAGTGCATGCATATATTATATAGAATATACTGGATACATACTGTATATTGGGTATATATTGGAATAGAATAATTGAGAATCTATATAGGTTCAAATGTTGGTCTTCAGAACTATAGAACCAAGGACTACTTATTTGATTCAACACACAACACTACCCTTATACACTTTTTGGCTCTTTCTCAGTTGTCTAAAAATCGGTCCGCTCCTTCACTGATCTGTCAATCAGTGTAGATTCAAGGGACAAGACAAGGAGAGAAGGGATTTTTAAGCAATTGGTCTGTTTACATTTCCACAGATGACATACCAACACCACCATCTAGTGGTCAATTCTGTTTTTTTAATTAACATGGGCTGAAAGTATAAAGCGTCTCAGAGCAAGAGCACTAATTTAGGATATGTTTAGCCTTTTAGATCACATTGAATAAGACTACGTGGACAGGGTTTGCCTGGTCCTGGATCAGCACTTCACTCTTAGATACTTGACGCTCACATTGTGTGCCTTTATTTGTCTACAGCTGATTAAAATGGTATAGCCTACAACAGATTCCAAGTGAATAATGATTTTCAATCAAATAATGTTTTGTTAATTGTATTCATCATTTGCATTATTTCACAATATGTCTGTAAACTATGTGTTCAGTGCAGAAAAAAATATAACAATATCAACTATTGGCTGAAAAGTAATTCCCTCAATCTCACATTATTATTATAAACTACAAAAATGTAATCATCAATAGCAAAAACTAAATCATCTTTAACAACAAAAATGCAATTATCATCAACAAGAAAATCATCATCATCAACAACAAACATAAAATCATCATAAAATCATTGTTATCAACATCATCAAAAATAAAATCATAATTGAATAGATTGACGCTGGGAAATACCTTCAAATCTGGCCACGTCATTGAACAAATCACTATTAAGGTGTGGTCCAATAAAAACATTTTTAATCTACTTAATCATTTTTGATTAAGTAAATTGTTGAAAGTATAATCAATGTGAAACAAGAAATGCATTTTGTTCACAATTAAAATAAAAACAAAAAACAACTGTTTCCCACTGAACCATGCAGTCCCTTCTAAATCAATAAACTGTGATTAAGGCATATGAAACCATAGGTTAGATGGTAAGTAAATGACAGAAATGTATTTTTTATAATTGAAACTAAATGAACAATGTCAGACTAGCTCCTTATGTACCTGTGTATTGTGTTTATTTATGGACATTATCAAGTAAAACACTCTGAATCTGTTGGTTAACCTGTTGGTGTTGATGTTGTCTTTTCTTATTTGTAGGATTTCTGAATTTGCTTACATCTACATCTATTAGAAAATGTTATTCCTTTCGCATCAAATTCAAAGTGTTAGCTATGTATTTCATTATGGAACATCAGATCTGTAAATTGCTAAGACGTCAAATAGTTTATGAATGCATATAGATTAAATATGTTTTTCCAAGCTGCATTTGTTCTTTTTCAAAATTGCATTGGGTATTGCCAGAACTGCACATTATTTCAAAAACTTTATTGAGACAACTGGCTCTACATATGTTGATTCTGTGATATGTAATTCCTGGTTGTTAAGTCTATGAAAAGTCAATCATGTTTTTGGTCAACAAGTCATTATATAGTACTCCACTTTATTTCATGTTGAATGACATTTTTAAGCTACTCATTGCATCATCAGGTGTTAATGCCTTCCAGTCCCCTGGGATATCAGCAGGAAGTGCATTTACTTCTTTAGCGATTCTCTCATGGAATGTGGCCATCACATACTTCCAGTAGTCTGACGCCTCCACGCTGGCATCACCAGTTAGGGTCCAGTCAGGGTAATATGTCTGGTAGTCCTTGTAGGGGTGAAACTTTCCTCCAGTCACAGCGTTGGAGAATGTTGCTTTGCAACTAACCACAAGAGATGAACATATCTCAATTATTAATTTCTTTGAATAATTATTCCGATAACCACAGATACCTTGTGAACGGTGAATGGAGGAATGGTGTTTGTTGTGCTCTATCCCCCCTGCTTCACAAGGTACACCACAGAAGGGACATTGCTTCCCACAGCCAAACAGACTGGTGAACATCTCGTCGTGAGGCTTGAATGGAAGAGATCTGAGTCTCTCTTTGATGTTACCTCTCTTTTTGTACTCAGCTGCCAGTGACTGCTCCATTTCTCTCACAAACTCTGTGAGGTAGACAGCAAACTGTTCTGTATCTGCAGTGTTCAGAATCAAGATGGAATCCAGAGCATCCTTGAGGACCAGCTTCTCTTCAAGGGCACTGCAGATGTTTTGAATGAATGTCTTGACATCATTTACATTGTTTATGCAAGTTGTTTCTCTGATGTTAGAGATTGTGTCAGTGATCATCTTGACCATCTCTGAAAGATGTTTCTTCTCCAATTTCTCCAGACCGCGGTCCTTTGACTGTTGTTGGACAATCTGGTCAAACAGCCAGTCCTTCACAAACCTTTCATAATGACTAATGTACTCTTTATATTTGTCATATTTTCCATCTGTCAGGAGTTGTTTCAAAATGGCGAACTGGAAAGCCCCTCTTGTGCTGTAATCCTCTGATCCTTTACCAATCTTCACTTCATCAACCACATCAGGACCAATCATTTTGGTCACATAGTCCTGTACAGCTGGCTGCAAACAGAGCTTTGTGAAGTCCTCAGCTTTCTTTTGGCACTGGTCTCGGTTATGAAACAAGTCTCTGAACTCAGTAAGGTACTTGTTCTTAGACTTTTCCAGACACTTCTTTGGGTCATTGACTTCAATGAAATCATCATGCATCTTTTGAAACTCTCTGGCTGCTCTGCCACAGATGTGTAGCTTCAGAGAAACTTCACATTCCTCACTGACTTTAACATTCTTGTGGCGTTGCAATGTTTCATCAATCCTGTTCAGCAGGTCTTTGATGTAAGTGTCATGATAATCAGACTTTCCTTTAACCTTTTCTTTTATAAACTCCTGACACTGTGTTATGATGTCATCACAGAGGTCTTGTAGTTGTTTCCTGTGATGGTCGCGATCCCCATGCTTTACTATGTTTTTAGTCTGCTGCCACCAACTCTCGGATTCCACAACAAAGGCTTTTCTCCCACAATCCAACAGTCTGGTTCCAACCAATAGACTGTTGACATGACTGCTCCTTGTTGACAGATTTGAACGCAACATGAGAAAGGCATCTTGGGCAACATCTCGCTTAGGAAGTCCTTTGAAGTGTATCTCAGAAAGAGTTTTTCTCCACATGATTTCAAACTCTTTACTGAGTGCCTCATCTGATAGATTATATTTTTTCTGTCTACAAATCTGAAGCAAATCTAGTACCTTTTTCTCAATTGTACTTGCCTGAGAGCTCTTGATGTTGTTCAGTTCTGTCATTCCCTCTTTGATTTCAACAGCTCCTTGCAGTTTGTTCTTCACAGTGTTTTCTGTCTCTCGTCTCTGTGTTTTGGCACTGGACACAAAGTCCTCCCTGTATTTTTCCACAAGATTGACATGGCCATCTTCTTTTTCAAAGTATTTTACTAGATTGTCTTGGATTTCCTTTTCTCCCAATGTCAGCTTCTCAGATGCTTCTAACATTAAGTCTTTTAGCACATCTCTTATGGACTTCTGGGGATATTGATCTGTCATGCCAATATTGGACATTTTAGTTTCAGCACCCACCATCCATTTATACATCTCTTTCTGGAAGGCCCATTCCCAACCATTGTACTCCGAGCATAATCTGGAGTATGCATCTGCAACCAAGCTGTTTCTGAAACTAAAGATGAATTTCTCAAATTTCACAGACTCCCACAAGCTTTGTGTCCACTTCAGAAAATGTGTTAAATCATCATTTCTCTGACAGGTTCTGAAATCTTTCATCAAGGTCTTCTTGAAGTCATACACAGCCTCACTATAGCCTGCATTGACTGGAGCCATAGGGGGAGTCCCATGCCAGAGTCCTGGGATGTAGCAGCTGCTTGTGTCTGGATCATACTCCATCACATCCGTGAACTTGGTGATATTCTCCTTCTTCTCCATTCTGGCTGCTGCCAGGGTCATTTCATCCAACTGTTCCAACAACTTCTTCCTGTCCCTCATGTTGTTGTCATGAGCAGACATGTCTGACACATTCTGGTGCACAAAATGACATACTGGCTTCTTCCCCACTTCCTTCATCCTGATAAAAGCATGAACAACAATCTGTAGAATGTCTTTCATCTCTGTGGAGTTCTCCATGGCAATGTTGATAATCGTGACATCACTGAGTCCTATTACAAGTGTCGCCAATTCATTGTCATGTTCATGGCTATCATCAAGTTGAGCAAGCTCTGGTGATTTCAACCCCTCTGTGTCAATGATCATGATGAAGTCACATTTCAGTTCCTCCTTGAGTTCTTTGTTGACTTTAATCAGTAGCATGAAAGCCCCTCTGGTGCATCTTCCACTGCTGACAGCAAACTGGACCCCAAACATGGTGTTGAGGAGAGTGGACTTCCCAGTGCTTTGGACCCCTAAAACTGTGACCACCCGGATCTTGCTGTTGGATTGGACAAGAGTATGAAGCTGAGTCAGTACAGCTGCTATCCATTTCAAAGGGATATTTGATGCATCTCCATCCACAAGCTCAATGGGGAAACCATCCAACAGCATCTGAGCGCACAATCCAGGTAGATGCTCCATCTGTTTCCTTTGTAGGCTACTTTCAGGGAGGGAGCAGGCAGCTTCATATAACTGGCCCAACTCACGCAGGAAGTGTTCAAGACCTAAGGAACAGTCAGATAATTGCTTATCCAAATCTTTAATGTCGTCTTTTTTCTCAGGAGAATTTTGGCAAAGATCTTTGTACCGGTCCCTTAAACCAGACAGGTTCTGCCGTGACAGATTGTCCAGATTTATCCGCATCCATTTGAGGAAATAGGATCGCTCAGCTCCTGAACTTGACAATCCTAAAATGAAGCTTGCCATTGCATCTGACATGTCACGTTTATGTTGCTTCTTTCTCAACTCTTCCTCCTTTTTATTCAGAGAGCTCTTGTAGTGTTCAATGTCTTGATCCCCTGCTTTTCTCAGCCTACACCTCTCTTTTTCTAACTGGGAAAGCTCTTTCCAGATTTGCCCTTGTAAGGGTAGCTGTTTGTCTTTGAATTTCATTGTGTCTTTGAAGTTCCCGGTGATTTCATCTGCCATCTTCCTGGCACTCTGACACTCATCACAGTCTTCATCAATCAGAATCCCCATCTGATGAGCCACATCAGCCATTTTTTCAATTGTCAATCGGTTTTGACTTTTTTCTAAGATGTCACTCACAGATGACTGCAGGGTTTTGACAAATTCTGCATCATTTAGCTTCTTCTTCAGAATCACATTTCTTTCATTGATACTGCAGTTTGTGATGATTTTTTTCAATGTGTCTGCACTGAATGTTTTTCTCTGAGAGTTGACAACCAGAAATAACTCTGCCTTTGGTTTTTGGGTTTTCAACAACTTGAGATCTGCCTCTAAATCATCACTGAAAATAAACACTGCTGCTGATGTTTGACACAGAAATGAAAACTGCGTTTCAAGCGACCTGATGTCTCCTCTGAGATTGGCAACAGCCAGAGGCTTAGTGAACATGTCTATGTTTCTGTTCCCACATGGACAGTACCAGCTGATTTCAACTAGACCATCTGATATTCTGCGAGGAACATCGCCACATTCCATATGATGATGAACAAATGTATCATGGTACTGTTGAGGGTTACTAAGCAACTTATTCAAGATCTGAGACTTGGACACTCTAATCTCCCCTAACCTAACAAAGGACACCATAGGAATATCAGAGAGTACAATTCTGTCCTCCACAAAAGACTTTGTGGCTGTTTGTGAAGACGACCTGAACTTTTTCACTATGTCTCTCAGGGCCCACAGCATCAACGTGCTTTGTTTTTTGTCACAGTTTGGCAGCAGGAGAGGAACAGCAAACTGACACATGGACATTTTCTGGACCATCTCCTGCTGCAGGAAACTGTCTGAGCACAGAAACAGTGCTGTAATCAGGTCTAGAGGGTTGATAACATTGCTGCTATCAAAGTCAGTGCCCTGGTTGTCTACACCATAATATGGAACCTCCTGGTCAGTGGTCAGACATTTGACACTCCTAGCATTTACATTTGCCATCATTAATTTCTTAAGGAAGGCCCCTGGAAGTGACTGCATATTGGTACGTGGTTCATCTGATGTAGTAGTAGCATTTATCTCAAGGACAGTACTTAACGTCAGCTTGTTTTCATAATGATCTTCTAGTCCAGTCTTTGACAACAGCTCCACGAGACAGGATACTGTAAATAGAAAGGAAGATCAGGAAATAGGAAAGATTCAGGGCAATTTCATCAAGGAAGATACTGTACATTTACATATCATGCTAACACATCCATTATGATTAGTTCATTTACATTAGTCATTTTAATAACTAGTCAAAGTTTAATAAAGTTCAATAATATATTAATGTTCTAGACACGTTTCATGGGAATATTGCAAGAACATTTGTGTGTATAAGTTGTTAGGACGTCGTCTGATTTAACCAAATAAACATACTCCCTCCCCCCAAAAAATGTTTCATTACACATCACGCCTTGTTACTATTGCTGAGCCAATAAAGGCCCTGATTGGTGAACCACTGATCCATTCATAGCTCATCTTTTGGCGAGGTTAGGGATACTCACAGTTGTTTTAACATAGGGTTTTCAACTTCCATATTTGACACAAGTGATTACTTAGTTATTATTATTTTTTATTTTTTTCCAAACCAATTACAAACATATGAACAACAACTGACAGCTGTACACAGACAACGACTACATCTCTTCTGCCCAGACCCACATGGTCACACCCTCATCTCTAGTGCCTGCATTATTGCTTGCCATATAGCCTTACATTTGACCAATTAGTTTCTCTTGGTTGCCCATGCTATTTCAATAATAAATCATTAGATTTTTCCACTGTGTTAATGATGGCAGGTTGACTGATTTCCAGGTTTCTGGTATACATTTTTTCGAGATGAGTGATGAGAAGAGAATCAACCAGCCCATTGGGTATCTCACTAAACCCCCATATTAATTACACTCCCAGAAAGCATGAATTATTGATTAATTGTTCATTTTACACTTGACATGAGCCTTTGTGCTGTAGAATGTGAATTGTATCATCTCTTTTATAATACATTCTATACATTAGTTCATACTGGTTTAAGTGTTCATTTTTGTTAACTGTAATTTTGTTAGTTATGTTCCAACATTCCTTCCATCTTGTGCCAATATCAGTTATTTCTAAGTCATTTTTTTTATAAAAATGTCAGTTGGATATGCTCTCTGCAAGGTTTTGTATTTCTTACCTAACATATGAGCATCCTTTTCTGACTCAAATAAGATATCCTCAAGGTTGCTCTGATGTCCAAAATACATTTAAATCAAAATGTTGTGATATTAAACGTTTTAATTGCATGCATTTGAAAATATCTACATTGGTCAGTCCAAAATTACTTTTTAATTCTGTCATGGAAATAAATGTATTTCCTGTTGCCAAGTCATCCACGTTTTCTATGCCTCTAGTTTTCCATGTAGAGTAATTGATCGTGAATTCTGAAAAGCTATCCAAGGATTGTTCCATAGGGTTTTGCTTTTAGGGAGTGATATTAGTTCTTGTAGAATACATTTAATTTCCTTCCATATTGTTATAATGTTCTTAACTATGAAGTTGTTAATATTCTTAGCTTTATCCTTTGAAAATAGACACGTGAAAAGTTTCCGGGGATGAGCATGCAATATTTAACCATTGTTCCTCTTTAGGGCATTTAACTATAGTATACTGTATATGTCGCAAGTAAAAGCCTTGGGTGGCGAGTTGATACAAGTCTGGAAGATGTCAAACTTTCCTTTTCATTCTATGAATGCTTTTTTAAAGAACGTCTTCGGTGGGGTAATTGGTATTACAAAAAATACATACAACATTTTTGGGAGCCATGCCTGAGGAGGTTTATTCTACCTGTATGATGGATTTATGGGAAGATTGTTCCATTTAATTTGATCTGCTTTCATATTGTGACTAAAGTTATCTTTATATATTTGTTGCCACTTGTTAAGCATCCTAGGTATTTAGAATTTTTTTGTGGTCCAGAGTTATTCTTTTTTTTCTTCCTATTTCTATTATTATAAAAAATGTCAACGTTAATTTTATATCCTGAGAATTTAGAGTATTGTGAAAAGTTTTTAGCAAGGAGATCTGCCAAATATGTTTAGTTTATATTCATGTTTACTAATACCTGTTACGTTTGGGTCCTGTCTAAGTCTTTCTGCAAGCAGTTCAATTGCCAGTGCAAACAGGGAGGAGAGGGGTAATCCCTGTCTTGTGCCCCTTTCTAAAATAATTCAATCAGATAATGTATTATTTGTGTATATCTTTGCTTTAGGACATTTATACACTATTTTTATTAAATGTATTATTTCAGCTGGAAAGTTGAACGCTTCCAAAGTTTCGAATAGAAAATACCATTCAACATAGTCAAAAGCCTTTTCGGAATCAACAACCATTATTGATGAATCTATATCTTGTTTTGTTTTTTTGCGTATTGTACTATATTGAAATATCTTCTTGTCCTTCATTTCACTCTGTCAATTAGGTTAGCATTGTGGAGTAACTACAATGTTGTTGAGCCATCGGTTTTCTATCACAGACATTAAACTCTATAACTGTTTTAAAGGTCACCATTGGCCTTATGGTGAAATCCCTGAGCGGTTTCCTTCCTCTCCAGCAACTGAGTTAGGAAGGACGCCTGTATCTTTGTAGTGACTGGGTGTATTGATACACCATCCAAAGTGTAATTAATAACTTCACCATGCTCAAAGGGATATTCAATGTCTGCTTTTTTTATTTTTAGCCATCTAATAGGTGGTTTTCTTTGTGAGGCATTGGAGAACCTCCCTGGTCTTTGTGGTTGAATCTGTGTTTGAAATTCATTTCTTGACTGAGGGACCTTACAGATAATTGTGTCATGTTACACAATATTATTGCACACAGTGTCCATGCAACTTATTATGTGACATGTTAAGCACATTTGTAATCCTGAAATTACTTAGGCTTGCCATAACAAAAGGGGTTGAATGCTTATTGACTCAAGACATTTCAGCTTTTCATTTGTAATTAATTAGTAAACATTCCGAAAAACATAATTCCACCTTGACATGTGGTATTGTCTGTAGGCCAGTGACAAAACAATCTCAATGTATTACAATGTTCTATTCAGGATGTAACACAATGTGGAAAAAGTCAAAGGGTGCACCATATATTTGTAATGGCAAAGGTTATTTTTTGCTTACATATTTAAAACATTTCGGGTCCAGAAGATGCGCTCTGTTGATTCTCCAAATTATGTATTTTTCTATTAGTGTATTTAAGCATGATACAGGAGAATGATCCGATATCATACATTGTTGAATCCAATAAATAGTTGAGTACATTTTTGGAGAAAAAAAATTATGCAATTCTTGAATGGCTTTTCTCACTTGGAGAAAAGAAGGAATAGTATTTTGTAGTTACGAATAGTAATCTCCAGGTGTCCTGTAACTTGTTCTGCCTCTTTGGAGGCTCCCTAAATATGCCTTTTTTATTACCGTCTGTCAATCTTTTCAAAAGTATGATTTAGGTCACCTATTTAAATAATAGTTCCAGTCTGGTCTACTATAGCTTGAATTCTATCTAAAAGAAACACCTGATTTTCCCGTTGGGATATACAATGAAATCAATGTGTATTTTTCACCATGTACGGTACAATTCAACATTGGAAAACGGCCTTCTTGGTCCATATCCTGGGTGTAAAGGGAAAAAGTGTGTATTCTTAATCTATCAGGAACCCTACACCTCTGATGTTACTACAGTAGGTGGCAGCATAGGCCTCTCCAACCCAGCTCCAATTTTAATATTACATTTCGCCTTTTTTTTTTTAATACCTCATCTGCTGACAATCTAAGTGTTTGAGAACCATATGCTTTTTTCCCCCCGATCATGGAGCTGGTGCACATTCCATGTGATAAATTGGAGTTGGTCTTTACTTGTATATAATCAAAGTTAACCATCTATCATTGATGAACTAAATAAAACATTTTAGCAGACATGACAAATGAGGGCGGTGGACATTCCATGGAATGGGAGGATCATAGTATAAATACATAGTTATTGTATACATTACATATATAGACCGTGTGTGCTGAGCAGACGTTTAACAA